TGGGCAAGCTCTGAAACATTTCATCATCTGTCTGATCCATCTAATAAATTGTTGAAAACACATATCAATTATATATAATAATAACTCTTTAAAAACTGTTAAAAACCTTTATAAATTTATTTTTGTCCATAGATATTCCACAAGCAAGTGTATTTACTGCAGAGAGTCAGAGACAACAATGTATAATCCATAGTAGTATCAATGCCATAATACAATATTGTCAATGTCAAAACATATAGGATAAAAATATAAAATACAGATGCCATTTTTTACCCATCCCCACTCATAACTTGCAAACTTAGAAGCCTATAAATAAATGGAGAAAAGAACTAAACAATTGAGGACAAAATTCTGGAGAAAGTGACATAAAGCAAAACCAAGAAAGGAAAACACTCACTACCCTCAAATGCTAAATTGGATATTTTTGGAAGAAAAAAATAGTAATTTGAGACTCAAATGAGCAAGTATAGATTTCAAACAAAACCTCAAAGACTTTTAGCTTTTGCGGTATAATATATAGATCACCAGAGAAGATCAGCTAGTAGAAGCAAATGCAGCAAGAACGTTAGCTTGAGAAGGCGGTAAACCACTTATGAGTGGCTCCAACTGTTTCCCATAAACCGAGATCAGGTGGGAGAAAGTTCTGCCTACAATTGCTTTCACTTCAACTTTTTCGACTGGTGACTCCAGTACTTGCCCAAAGATTTTAACCAGGTCTGGAACATGTGAGAGCATCTGATTTCGCCACCAAGCAAAAGGGTTCACCAAATGCACCCGAGAAAATGATTTGTCAAAAGGTTAAAATTTTGCATGGAAAAAAATACCTGTGGATTGGATGCCAAAACAAGCGAATATATACAGCTGTATACAGCCATGGACTCCTCTTGATCTTCCTTTAGAGGTAGACCTCTTACGAATACGGGAATTACCTGAATATATATTACTTAGGGATGAGTACAGTGCTTCATATGGCTGAGCACGTAAGCAAAAATATATGAAGTAGCCTTAAGCCCGAGATCATACTTGATTTAGAGGGACCGATTGAGGATGAACAAGAATCATCCTTGCAGTAGCACCTGCTGCATTATCCCTAACAGCAAGGTCTGGCTCTGACTCCCCAAAAAGCGGGTAAATTCCGCGTAGAACATCACCAAAATATCTGGCACTGAATCAAGGGAAGACAAATACTCTCATGTTCTCCCACCCAAGAGAAAACAGTGACAAACAGAAGATGGATGATGGGTGAGCATAGAAATCAATGGATAAAAAATGTGAGAATGCCGCAAAAGGATACTTAAGAGCAGTTTCACCCCCGTTTTTGCATAGCTCTCCGACACAGAAAGCAGCATTCCTTCTATTGGTTGCTACTGGTGACCCCAATTCTTTGAGCACCAAAGGCATTAACCTCTGCAAGAAAATTCTCCAGATGGTTGGTTATAATACAACTCAAACACCAAGAAACGAATCATAGAGAACATAAGGCGAGGAAAATCACATCAACATAGGCAGAGATTGGAGCACCCATGTCTTGAGCAACTTCAGCAAGACTAGCAACTACCATTGTCCTATCCTGTGGAGGACGTGAAGCTTTCTACAGACAATAAGTGACGCAGTAAGTGCCAAGATTTCAATGAAAGAAGTTATGGCAATGAATTCTATAATTACTAATACCCACCGCAAACTTCATCAACGGCTCAAAGAATTTCGCAAAGACAGGTTCAAAATGAGACCCCATACACTTTGCAAAGGCGGGAAGGAGGTCTGAAACTGCATCCATAAGGACTTCATCATGTCCAGTATCATCATCTTCAATATCACTGTCATCTTCAAATTGCTGGCAAGCTGCTTTCTCCGTCAGCAGTAGCAGTGTCGCATCAACAAGAGGTGATAAATCTAGAAACCAATGTTGTCAGAACCGGATAGAAGAACAAAGATAAATTAGAAATATCATGAATTGATTTTTCATCAATTTACTTCAAAAAGATTAGACACCCACAATTTTCAATGGCTACACAACCATAATCCTTCATGATATCCGCTATGCTCATGCAAGCCTGAGCCACAACCTCCTTGTCGTCATCATCAGCCATCGTTTTAATATAAAGATTCATAACTGTATCTGATAGGGACAAAAACTGTTTCAATAATATATTCTCCCAACCAGTATCCAGTGTCATTCTTGTTGTTAATGAGAAGAAAATGCCTTGTAATATAAGTTACCAAGAATTTCTTTTGCCTTCCCAGTTCCATCCTACATAAGAACCAAACCAGATGTTAGAGAAGGAGGGGAGGGAGGAGAGCAAGAAAGATGGAAATATTCATGATTCATTCCCTTACATTATGAGTCTGGAAGTTGGCATGTGCTGCAGCCAATATATCTGTAAATCCAACCAATAGAAAAGATTAAGCTTAGAGAATGAAAATTGAATAACAAGCTCCCATGCAAAAGCAACGGGACTAGACAATTGACCACATATTGAACAAAGCGAGAAAGAAGGAGAATTGGCACATTGAGCAGATGCCCAACAGGCAGAAATTGTTAATTATCAGGCCAGCTGCTGAGTGCTGGTTGTACCATACATTAGGACGACGCTATGTGTCTAGTAAACAATAAATACTAAGCTACGTGTCTAGTAAAATGAATCTGTCCTCTTCCGCGGAAGAGGTCCCAAGGGTTATACATGTGGTCGTCTGTGTCAACATATTTCTGGCCCAGTAAACACAATGACAATAGAGGGAGAGGGAGGAGCAAGAAATCAAAAGATACTAAACTAACGTTTTAAGCCAGTGACTGCTTGAAGCCGAACATCTTCATGAAAATATGCAGAATGTTTTTCCATAATCTTCAATGCTTCCTCGAGGTAGCTTATAAAAATTAGTTAAGGAGGCATGAAATAGGTTTCTTGTAAGAAATCTAAAGGAAAAGAAAACTGTCCAGGGAAAGATGAAGGATACGGTGCATAATAAGATTTAGTGTGGAGTGCAAACAGGCCAAGAGCTTGAGTTGCAGCTGCCTTTTCATCCAAAACTCCTGTTCTTACGCTTATGTTCCGAACTCTGGGCTCATCATGAGCTTCATCATCAGAGGATACCCCACCAAAATCATTGACATTTTCATCGTCTGACTCATCAATGTCCACCGCAGACCCATCATTAAGATTGCACGAAGCAAACACTAGTGGCATAACGCGAGGCAGATACTGCGAAAAAATGTTTTTCAGTTAAACTTAAACATAACCATTGGCGTTGAAACTTTTATAAAAGCCTATTTGAAGAAATGCACACCTGGGCGAAAGAGTCATCCAATATTTCAGCTATGTTGCTGAAGAATCCATGAGTATATTCTCGCAACTCACTGAATTCCAATCCAAATCCCTGTAATTTTGTGATTGTGAGCTCTTTCATCCGCAAAATGATATTTTCAGTTCAAAGATACAGAATAGTAAGGCAATTACTGATATTGCAGCATCAATGAAAGGTGGCAAAATAGCCTCCATCCCTTTTCTCCCAACAGACATGGCAACAATCCCAACAAGCTCAGTAGCTCTTGCACGGGAACGGAGATCCTCGTCATTCGTGAGCACCATAAAAAACTTCATCAACTCTAAAACCCTTTCAGCATATGGATTGAATGCTTGCTCTGCAGCAGCAGCAACCGACCCAATTGCAGACTGCAAGAGAAGTAGCACAAGGTATATATTAATATTTCTAAAGACCAGTTTTACAGATACTCTGGCAAATATTAACTTATCAGCGTACCATGCATGTCTCCTGTAGATTACGCGGACTACTTTGGAGGGCTGCCATAAGCTTCCCCATTAAAGGATCAAGGTACCCAACAATTTCCTCTCCCATGTTCTCACAGAATGCTGCCAAAGCATAGTACGACTTTTCCTGTAGACAAAAATGACAAATTTAGTAATAAACTATTGTTTTATGTTTTCATGGCAAAAAAGTGTATTTTCACATGATATCACAAACCACACTTAGTTCCATGCTTAAAATATTACCTTCACTTCCTCAGAAGTATCTTCAATTGCAGTCAATATGCATGGAAGAACACTTTGATAGTGTGCCAGGATTTCAGGCTGAAGATGCTCGGCAAATTGACCAAGTGCAAATGATGCAGCCCCTCGAACCATTTGCTCAGGGTCTCTTAAAGCCATCAAGACTATATTAAGTACAGGGTCCAGCTTCTCTTTCATAAGATCAAAACAACCCTCTGATATAACACCTAGAGCTGTTGCAGAAGCTTCCCGAAACTTCAGATTCGTACTCTGACAACTGATGGAAGCAAATTCAAAAACAGGGGGGAATACATGTTTTGGCAGGTTCATAGCTAGTGTGTCAATAACTTCAGCAGCTGCACGATCAGGAGCAAGATCGTCATCGTCCTCTTCATCAGATGACTCAGCGAGTAATGGGCACATAACTTGCAAAATTGGTATGACTAGCTTATGTT